GACGGGTATCTTTCTATCCAATAGCTGATTGCCTCAATGCCCAGATCATGAGGGATGTTTGAGTACATGTTGGTAATATCGAAGGAAACTAGAATCGAATTTTCATTGATAATTTTTGGCAAGTTGTTAAGGAAGTCCACCGTGTCCCTTATGTAGCTTTTTACTTCTTTGATAAAGGGTTTTAATAAGATGTCTAGAAAATTGCTAAGTCTGTGAGTTTCGCATGCTGGCCCAGCTATAATTGGACGCATCTTTAAATCACTCGTATCATTGACTTCTACGTAGGTCGACTTTGTTGTCTTGCATGCTTTGTTGATGCATTCGCTTTTATGTATTTTAGGGAGTCCATAGAAATTGCTCACTTTGTATTCAAAATTTGTGAGATAGTCACGTTCCTTATCTAGTAGACCTTTCCCATGTAACGCTAAAAGATTCTTTAACTTGCGCATAGTGGTTTCGGGGTGATATGTCGTAATTTTTTCATAGTATGATTTTTCATAAGTGTCGGTATCCATAATCACTACAGCACTGCCTTTGTCTGCTTCTTTGATACTTATTTCATTGTCATTTCTGAGTATATTTAGAGTTTTCCATTGTTCTTTATTGAAATTTCCTTTTCCAGGTTGAGTTTTAATCTGATCCATTGGAAATTTTGATATATGATTTATATATAAGTCTAATGCTGCATTCCTTCCACTGTTTGGTGTAAAAGAACTTTTATTACGGACAATCGATTCATCAGTATTTTCTTTGTCTTTATAAAACTCCGCTAAGCGTAGCCGTCTGCGAAAATTTGAAATATTCTGTTTAAGTTCTTCATGATTGGGTTTTTTGGGTGTGGGTGTGAATTTTAAGCCTTTCTCTAGTATACTTATTTCAGTTTGTGACAATTTTTTCTTTGATTGGTTTATCGTTTACAATGAAATCGCCGTCTTTTGCCTTGCACCATTTGACAATAAACCCTTTCATTTTTGTTACCCCTTCAACATAATAGAACATCCAGAGTGTCTTTCATCTTTTCAGGAATGTCTCGATCATTCGATCCAGTGGGATATTCTTTAATGATTGACACGTCAGGGGCGCGATATAAGAAACCGTGTGAAGAAAGCAGAAACCAGGTAAGGTATTGATTTGAATAAAGTATAGAAATGCTCATTTAAAAAGATGTAATTAATATCAAGTATTTCTGGATATATAATCCATAGTTTTCCTGCAGTGGAATACCAATGTGATAAATATCACTTAGCCTTACTTGGAATGCAAACACTTTGTCAATACCAATTGTATGGGACAAGCACAAAAGATTAAAGTGCCCCATTAACCTAAGTAAAATATGTCCTTTAATAGAATCCAGTTATAAAGAAAGTAGTTTCATGCAGTCAACAAAAAATTTTGTACTCCTTTGCAAGTCGATATTTTGTTTCTTTTATTACATAAGACCATATATTGTGTCAACTGCCAGGTTTAAGTAGTGGAATAGTGCCGAAACTGCCTGGCGGCATTCTAATCTGAAAACAATACCAATGTCGAGGTTGTCCTGTCTGTTTCATCCTTGAAGGTAGTCGTCGTCTCCCTCTTCTTGTATATTTCAAATGTGACATATTTTACATATTTTTACGTTCCAGTTTTTTTGCCACGAAGAGGAAGACCAGTGTTTCACCCCAATACGATACATGTTCAATACTGATTTTCACATCTATTTCGCGATAGTTTCGGTAAACAGGGCGAACATCACGTCAGCTGAAGGCATTTGTAGTAGAGGAGTGTTTTATCTTTTCCGCATCAGCGAATTGAAAGCTCTCAGAAATGGTGAATGGATGCATCTAATACGTACTTGGACGTGCACAGAGGTGGCCCAAAATGCAACGATTCCTTCACCGGCGGCCGTCATCAAATACGGAGTCAGATTAACGAAGATGATTCGAGGTTATCGTGAAGGCATCCGGATGTTTGCCTCGTTCCAAAACGAAGTGTCCGAGGAGCTGAGGGACAGGAATGAGACTGTCACATATAATGGCATAGAATATAGGATCACCGTGCTGATGTCAGGCATAGCTCGCTGTCCAGGTAGCGTTAACACTACCCAGATACCCCCACCACCAACAGGAACGCACGGCGGGGGTACTAGCGGTACGCCCTCCCGTGCCAATGAGCGTCCTCACAGTAACATGCTGGCGTACGTGGCGTTAGGGTTTGCCTGGGGGATTTTCGCGTTTCAGATGGCCTCCGAGGTTTGAGTTGTGCATTTTTGTTTGCTTTAGGGAGAGGTGCAGGGAGGCAAAAAGACGCATCCAGGTAAAAAAAAATGTAGGGGAGGCAATGTTTGATATTTCATGTTTTATGTACAGTAAACCATTCAGACCTGCTAGAGGTCAGGTCAACTCGTTAGTTAATTAAGTCAATTAAACAGCTATCAATATTGTTAGTGAGTCGGTAATTTCTTACCTTTTCCATGTTAGCAAAACTATTTGTAGTTATTAATATTGACAGTTTAATAACGGTATTCTGTCTAAAACCAGTGAGCACATTAATATAGACATTCAAGTTGTGGCGTCTGTAAATACCAGTACATGATGTTTGCTTCGATTTAATGGTAATTGTAGGGTAACCCAAAAGCTCTTTGTATTTACCTTTTTGGATAAATGGATTAATCTGTGGTGTTCACTGACTATATTCCTTGGCATTTACATAAATGTCATCTTAAAGATGACGTCATAACTGGGTTTTTTCAGATGTCTCCTTTACCTGAACACTCCCAGACACTGCAACTCCAATTAAATGACATCATTTAATACTTGAAAACCATGCTAGCAATTTTTCTTGAAAGCATTAGTTGAGATTTTATCGTTAATAAAGGCAAAATAAAGCCTTTTGTCTTTGATGTATTGTAATTAAGGGCTCAAAATCTATGAAAAAATATTAAAACCGAAATGCATGGGAATAAAGCTCATACACTTGCCGTCATGTATGCCAATTTTCGTGATAAGATCTTGTTCAAGAATGGAATGACGACCCATACCAATTGTCATCTCACCTAAAAACAAAAAGATGTTATATTGATAATAAATATCTTGAGGCGTCTATGCTTATGCTTAGCAACGATATATATAAACACCAATGATTTTTATTGTCTTTAAACACGCAAGGCACACGCATTATTTAAGCATTTAGATGCAAGAAAAAACTCATTATATTGATATTTGGATGATCAAAAACCCTTACAGTGCCCCTAATATTTAGAGATTTTTTTCCTATTATCACCAAGAAACATGCATGCTATGCCCCAAAGCAATTGCGGAATTGATATTCATACGTGTAGATCTATTGGAGTTTTCCAATATACCGATTTATTAATATTCATTTTACAGTAAATCCAGGTTCTAACTAACTAATACAGTGTAGGACTTATCACATGTCGCTAAAAGTATTTTCGTGACTCTTATACTGTAAACTATAGTTGTGTTTTTCATCGCCAAAGTACATTTTAGAAAATATGTATTGTTTAGAAAATTTGTATTTGAGCTCACTAGTGCGCCTGAAATGGTCTTAATCACTGGTCTCAATCACTGGTCTTTATCATAAATGATCTTAATTGGTCTTAATCATTATAGAAATGGTCTTACCATGGAATAACTCTGTTTTTAAGATCAAAATGATCTTACACTGTATGAGTATTATTGGACTTTTTTTCTATGTACGTGATCTAGCAATTACTGGCCCTTACAATGGAGTATACTTCCCCACAGTGGGAGAACGTGTGAGGGGAAACAATTTAACTGGAATCAGTCCATTTACAGTGTTACTCATTGATTAAGACCATGTAAAATCATTTGTAATCTGAAATCGTGGATTAAGACCATTCCAGGCACAATAGTGACCCCTGTGTTGATAATCAATCAGCAAAACATCTGAAATTAATTGTTTTAAAGTAGTTATTTTTTAAATTAAATTTAATTTAAAAAATTGGATTTATTTGAATTTGAATTTGGATTATTTTTCAAATTATATCAAAATATTATTAAACAATAAAGGATAAAAGGGAAACATATTGACAAATATCTAGTGCATTACTGGTCTGATATAATGGTACAAGCCGTGATCAATGTCATTTTTGCAAAATAATCTGTTTGATATTTTAGATTGTTGATTTGGAACCCTTGTGAAATTGCATTTTGGTGAAATAAATAATGTTGTAACTTCGTATGGGTGAAATTGTATATTGCTTAGCCAAAAAGGCATCGGTTTCATTTCATTCAGTTAAATATAATTCCAGGATATTGTATTCCGTAAAAAAAACAATATGTACTGATAAGGAAAGGAGAAGGGTGGGCTCTTCTCTGTTCAATATTCAGTAAAACCTAGCCAAGACGTCAAGATAATTTCCTAGCCCCTCCCACTTCAGCCCCATATCCTTGGGCAATAAGTTTGTGCCCTTCCAACTAACTCTATTCAGCCAAATCGCGCTAAGTGATGCAATATTGGGGGTGAATTTTTGTGGCATCAATTTTGAAATGAAATGGTTCTTTTTTATTGATACGCATGTTCTTTTGACATTGACATTAGAGAAGACCTTTTTAACTTTGCGGTTGAAGAACATTTTAATGCGTTTAATGACACTGAAAAGTTTAAATTGCTCATGGAAAATGACCAGAATTTAAAACAGTATAAAAAAGTACACGCAATGATGTGGAGAAGAAGTAAAGCTATTACAGACGAGAGGGACTGAAAGTTTTTATGGAATATTCTTTTTTACGTGTTTAATTGATAGGCAATTTATTTTTTTATGAATTTTAACTGTACTATCACAGGTTTTATTCTCTCATAACCTTAAACAGGTCTTAGCTTATACTGACTTATCAACACAACCTGCATTAGCCAGAAAGCTGTTGCATGGCGCATATCAAAGGGAAATGTCGCCTTGTCTGATTACCAGCATCTATATCTGTGTCAGTATGATGCAACCACGACATAGCATAAAAATCCATATGAAGGAACGGCAATTAACGTACAATCTGCCATGGGTAGTACACCAAGAAGGTTTTTTATATACCTAGCCCTGTGCATTACCTTAGCTGCCCTGCTTCCTGTTTATATCTGGTTGACTGGTGCAGGTAAATATTGGCGCACTGTATATTAGTTCATGTATTTATAGTTTGATGTTGTAAAGGTAAATAGTGCTGCTTTCGCTACTGAGTTGGGTCCATTTAAACACAGCCAGTTATTAGTCTGAAAGAAACATCCTTGTTATAAATATACCAGACGTGTTTGAAAATACCCTGAGGCATGATTGTGTGTATATCAGCTATATGTTTCTTTAAATACCACAAAACCCATTTACTGTATCCGATGCAGGTTATTCCTTTTTCAAATAACATGAAAGCAGGACACCTTCGTGGACTAAAAAGATTGAAATGAATTTAACTTAAATACATCTGTTTCATTTTACTTTGTGTAGGCCATGGTTTATTTTCGAAAACGACCGTCTACCGTGGCTTTCCTCTGCTAAAGAAAACGGGAATGGGATCAAATTTTGTTAGTTTGATGCAACGTTTAGATTCCGGTCAAAAGGCGTACCGGATTCCGGAAATGACGTCATGTGTTCCACGAAGACATATCGTGTTTTTTAGGGTTTCGAAATGTTCCTCCACCACGCTGTACATGCTCCTGCAGCGAGCTGTTGTCAAATATCGTTTGCGGGTTCTGCGACCCAAGACCAACAAGATTCATTTCTATCGAGTCCACCCTTACAGGCCAACGAAGATTACAGTGCACGATGCAAAATACAACCCTAAGCTTACATATGATGTTTTAATGGACCACATGATATACGACGCTGATGTCATAAACAAAATGATGCCGTCAGACTCGTTTCACCTGGCGATTCTTCGAGAACCATTTGCTCAATTTATAAGTGCATATGATTACTTTAGACTATGGGTGAAGTTTAGAGTTCATTCAGCCGAATTTCTAAATCACCCCCATTTTTACTGGAACCGGAGTGTGTCTTCTCGGGACAAGGCGACGTACGCGAGAAACAGCATGATCTCTGAACTAGGTTTTCCAGACGAAAGAGAAGATTTAAGAGACAACGACACTTTTATTCAAAGCTACATCAATTTCCTAGACTCTGCGCTGGATTTTGTGATAATAGTGGAACTCCTCGATGAGTGTTTGGTGTACCTGCGACGTTTGTTATGCTGGACTATGGAGGATATGTTATACAGTAATGCCAATGTACAAAAGAAGTACAGGCGTCCATGGAGGGAACAAAACAACACATTGTATAAAGAAAAACATAAACGGTGGAGCAAGGCGGATCACCAGCTCTATCAACATTTTCTAAACAAGTTTCTTGCTACACTCCGAAGACAAGGTCATGATTTCTTTGAAGAACTCTCCATATTCCGTAAGGCAAAAGATGCGTTGGACAGATGCGGAGGTGCGGACCGGGTTAGAATCAAAATTACAGACAAACATACTTTATACACTCGAGACTCAAAAATCAGCTGCGTTTGAAATCAGACAGTAAAGGGATAGGTTTTTGATGTGACAAGATGTAGCTTAGATTTACAAACAAGAAAGAAAAGGCGATCACTGAAATACGGTCAGATTTGTAAGGTGCTCGTCAATTTGAGCTGATTAAACCATACACTTCGTGATAATAGCCGGCTCAGTTCTCCTACAGCTTTCCAGCAATCACAAAGCGTTATTATAACGTTACCATTACGTTAATTAATGTCACCAAAACGTTGCAGTAACGTTATTAGTCATTATGTGTTTGCTGGGTTGGTATTGGGGTCGGGAAGAGGGAGGCGCCACCGTAACTGCTACAGGAATGACAAACCCAAATGATTTCTTATAACTACGGTAGATCAATTAGATTACAATTATATTATCATTTACAATCATCTATGAAGAAATTTACAATCATCCATGAAGAACTTCAACTGAGATGGACAACGGCATCCAAAATAACTCGAGAAAATCTCATGACTTCCTTGAAGTCTTACACTGTGTATGTTTCAGTGTATATGATGTTTTATATAATGTGGTTCTTTCTTCTACGTCTGGGTAAACCATTCTGTGAGGGCTGATGAATAAATTATCAGAACATCATACAAATTCACTGAGCCTGGCAAATGCATATACATTCTTAATGAGTTACCACATAACGAATGGCAAAACACTGCAGAAAAAATTTTAATTCTCTTTCAGTCCAACTGCAGTATTGCGAATCCGCTGTGATGGCCCAAAGTCTATCGCACGACTTTAAAATCACGAGATTTTGCTCATTGCGACAAAAAAATAATAATCAAAATATAAATTTAACACACAACTCTGAGAAGAGGAAAAAATACCACAAGTAACAATTCATGATTGTTAAACTCGTAATGCTGATGGCGTGGGATTTGTGAAATATCAATATTTATATGTAGATGGTCAAGAATAAGATTTGCAAAAAATGCATAGGAAGAAGTCGCGCCGTTAGTTAAGTGTGAAATGAAATGAAAGGGGCATCTATGAAAAACAAATTTGGCATTCATTAATTAACACCAATATGCTCAAAAGTTAGATAGTAACATGGAATCAAATCATTAAACTACATTTGCTGATATTCAAAGTGGTCACCAAGGCACCAAGTGGTCACTGCCACCCTAGTGATATGTACCGTGACACCTTGAACGTCAGCGAGAGGTGTTCAAGACATTTCACCGAAAAACGCCCTTTAAACCGAATAACTCCCATACCGTATATGGGCATCTATATAATTATAAAGTCGACAAACAATTTTCATTATTTCTTGTTATCAATACTTTCCTTTGTCTTGCGTGAACGATATGCGTATTCCTGTCAGCCATTTAAGGAGGAAAAAGTCAGACGGCCGTTTAACTCCCACTGCTTCAATCTGGAAAGGACTTAACGTACATGTTTAAATACAAATGTCTGTAACAGATATATTTGAGAGCATCTTTTAGAATTCCCATAACAGTTTAATGACGTTATTACTAGGTTAGACTCCACATTAATTCTACATGTATCCAATTAGAATATTATTTCGTCATATTTGCTACACCCACTTTGCTGTCTGTCGTTTGACGTATTAATTTTAGTTGCGCCCGTTCATTAGCTTTTAGACATCCTCTATTTTATTGACAAGCCTCTAACTCTATTTTTCCCGTCTTTCTTATGTAATCTGCTTTAATGTATTTTAGTGTCTCCTCGTTGACATTTTCAATTGGTTCCCAAGTATTCTTTTTATAAGGGAACTCTTTCATGCACTCTGGCACATGTCACCGGAATGACACCCCGGAATGCAGTGTACCACTGATATGTCAAGCACTCAGCCAGTACATGCTGGACTTTGATACCGTCCTGGTTACTGACAACATCACCTGATTGGGATGTGTCGATCAGTTGACATCTCAGAATAGTACAGATAACTTATCAAATGATATATAAGCATACACAATCAACGGCTTTGGCATCAGTAGAGCGGGGCGGTCGGCGTGTAGTGGGCGGGGTGCTGTGCCCACTTTGGGCGCCTTAACAATAGCAATGGCTTCCAAAGGGCTGTGCAACGTCTTAAGCGAAAACTTTTTAACGTGTCATATATGTCTGGAGGAATATAAAGACCCGAGAGTGCTCCCCTGTTACCACACGTTCTGCCTGAAATGCATTGTTGACCATGCAGCCAAGAATGGTGCCCAGAACAAGTTCTCTTGTCCCGTGTGTCGCCAAGAGGCCCCCATACCACCAGGCGGACTAGAAACTCTTGTGAAAAACTTCTTTTTGAAAAAGCTTGCAGACTTCACGAAAAGTCAGAGAAAACTTCAGGGGAAACTTTGTGATTTTTGTAAGCATAAAGAGGCTACTTTGCTGTGCCAGGGATGTCCAAAAGCCAACCAGATGTGTGCTACATGCCGCGATTCCCATACATTAAATGGACATCACTCTGTACCTCTGTCACAAGTCGACTTCTCAGAACACACACGGGAACAGTTACGCCACGTGTTAGATAAAGCCCAATACTGTGACAAACACGCCAGAGAACAGCTGGCATTCTATTGTGAAAACGATTACACCGTCATATGCAGGGAATGTGTTGTAGAAACCCGACTTCAAAAAAGTAGGGGATGTGGTGAAGGTTCAACGGGATCTACTGCAAGAGAAGGTAAAATGCCTCCTGACGGAGACACTGCTTCGCTTTGTAAAGGCAGAAAAGGCCACTGTACGAACAGAAGAAAGGCTGACAAAAAATCAAGAAAAAATTCTTCGTTTGGTGGATTCTCAAAAATTTGCCATGACAAAGGAGATAAAGGAAAACAGTAAAACTATTGACAGAGAACTTAACGATTATTACCAACAAGTAGAGAAAGACGTACGTGAACAGACGAACGCGTATTTAACAGGTGTCAAACAGGTGTTGGAAACGTATCGAACAAAAGTGCAGTCCGATTACTGCGAAATGCAAAAAGTTATAGATGACAATAGCAGCAAAATAACAGCAGAAGTGAAGACACTCACCTCCACGCAGGTGAAGACTTTAGAAGCTGAAAAGGAAAATCAAGAAATGAACAGGATTTCCATTCAGAGTATTCGTGATTTCGTTCAGCAGCTCACAGACACTGGTTCTGACATAGACGTCATGACCCACTCTAAAAAACTCCAAACTAAAATCCAGGAGTTACAGACATCTGAACCGGTCTTTGATACCAAGACCACCGACATCACATTTACACCAGGGAAAAAAATGGACCTTGTGCTACTGTTTCCTAAAATTCCTGAACCACGGCCGCTGTCCATCAAAAAGGGGTCCATTACGGCTAAAACTTACCGGGGTCCCTTCGATGCATGTTTTGGAAGTTTGAAACAAGAGACAGTATGCTACCCCGAGCTGATGGAATTTCAGAAGGTCACATTGCTCGAAACGCGAGAGCGGCAGATATCTTTTTATGTTAGGAGACGGCTGTGGGACACCCAGTGCACGGATGACGGTTGCTTTTTAGTTGCATGTGGTATTATGTTCTTACACACAGCCCGTACCGTGTGTGTATTCTCCAGCACAGGTGAACTTGAAAGAGAGTTAGTAAAATGAGAACCTGGGCGAGGTGTAACTGTACAGTCAGTAACGATAGATTCTTGGTCACATGCAAAGATAAAAGTTGTAGACTGTATTCAACATCAGGTCAGGTTATCCAATGTATCGGTCAGGGTGATATGTCTGACCCCTGGGGTGTCACTGTCGACCGTACAGAGGGTAAGGTTTACGTGTGTGATAGCGGTGCACAGTGCATCTGTGTGTACGACTTGAAATCTTTCCAACTTGTTAACAGAATCCCTATCCCAATGTGCAGTAAATATTTACAGCGCTGTGCATACCACCTCGGCATCAATGCAATCATAGTCAGCGGCTTCTTGGGCAACTGTGTGTATGCAGTGACCCCCCAGGGTGACGTCATATTCCAATACGGAACACGCGGTCAGAGTGGAAGCGGAGATGGACAGCTGAGTTTCCCAGAGGGAGTGTGCGTAGATAGGTTTGGGCACATATTCATAGCTGACAGTTTTAATCACAGAGTGGTTGTCCTTGGTCCACGAGGAAGATTCATACGAAATATTTCGACAAGGGTAGAACTCAATAGATTTCTACGTTTTATGCTGACTGGTGGGAGTGACGACTTTGAACGCCCCGTGTCAGTCTGTATCAATAATAACGGGGAGCTTGCTGTTGGAACTTTCACCGGTGGAGTATCCACGCATAAGTATATAGATTGCAATTGACTCACAAGATTTTACACTGTGGTGATGATTGAATTGTGATTAATATCACTGAGAAAAATGTAATGAACGCACCACAAAAAAAACCTTAGAACTATGTTTCCTTTCTATTGTTACTGAAAGTGTGAGGACGTTTTAAATGAATTTAATCAACATGTGTAAAGACTTCTATAAAATGAGGGATTGTAATACTTTGAGCACTTTTATCTTGCAGATAATTGTTTTCCTCTCTGCTAGATATATTTTGACATTTGCTTCTTTTTCAACGTTTTAATTCAAATAGTAATATCATGCGTATGATGTATATAAATTAATATAAAAAATTTAAAGATAAGGTTTTGTTTTTGTCTGTTCATGAAACTATTTGATATTATTTTCTTTTTTTTATTTTCATGTGAATAATTTGTGCAGGCATATGATAGACAACTCATATAGCAAGAATTCTAAAGATAAGATTGTGTTGGTTATTGGTAGTACTCTTTAATGTTTAGAAATAAAATCAAATAAGTCTTGATTATGTTGTCTTTTTATAATTATTTTGTTTAGCACTGAAATTATAAAAAGACAACATAATCAAGACTTATGTTGTCTTGATTATGTTGTCTTTTTATAATTATTTTGTTTAGCACTGAAATTCAGAAAAACGAACGCGGTCGAGAGCAGAACAGTTATTGTTTTAAAGTATTTGACATTTAATGTACACTGTGAAGTCGATATAGGCATTAATACAAAACAGACACAGTTTTGAGGCACAGTTTTGAGGAACTACTACTAGTCCGGTTGCTTAGGGCAAAAAAATGGCCAAATCGTGACACGACGGATAAAAGCACCAAATTTTGCATGTGGGTACCTTTTGACATACTAAATCAAATTACAGCCGTAGCCCACGAAAAAAGTTTACCGTTTGGCCAAAAAATCCAAAATGGCCGCTTATTTGTGAAATTCTGTAGAAATAAATACATACCTATGTTGATTTTTATCAAATAAAGTATTTTCTCAATGTTTTCCACATCCTTATTACCCATATTATGCATATATGTCAGATAACAAACGAGTGTCCTTGGACTGTTCGAAAAATCCAAGATGGCCGTCATATGGCATAGGAATACTAGAACATGTACAAGGGTTTTCAACTAATGCCAACTAGGAAGATGCATTGCCCACTATCTAATTAATTTTGTTTCTGAGTGCCTTACTACAGAAATAATATTCATGGCTGCTGTCACACCAAAGTACCTGCTAGTCCTGATAGATAAATCCATATGAGAATACAAGTGAAGAACTGCCCTTCATGGCTGCTGTCACACTAAAGTGCCTGCTAGTCCTGATAGATATATCCATATAAGAACACAAGTGAAGAACTGCTCTTCATGGCTGCTGTCACACTAAAGTGCCTGCTAGTCCTGAGAGATATATCCATATAAGAACACAAGTGAAGAACTGCTCTTCATGGCTGCTGTCACACTAAAGTGCCTGCTAGTCCTGATAGACCTGATGGTTCTGATACTGGTCTTGGCATGTCAGATGGTTCCTCTCTGAAATACATGAACAATAAGTTTATCATGACATTTGCACACTTTTGTTTTTACTGTACAAGTCAATAAACATGTCTTGTCTTATCATGTAGACAATTATGAAAGAGCATATAGTGTGTTATCTTTCAAAACTGTATGCATGTGTGTGTGTGTGTGTGTGTGTGTGTAAGAATATATAGCCTGTAACCTTCATGTTAGCCATTTAAAATTGTGCCCGTGTGCATGCATGCCCGTATGTGTGTCTGTGTGTGTATTCGGAGACATAACCATATGCATACTACACTATCTTCCATCAGTAAAAACTCCACATATAACAACATTCCCACAGGCCCTCAACAGATCGTATACACTAAAACGTACAGCACGCTACGACATTATCACTGGCCCAAAGATAACTGCCAGTTAAAATCAGAACTGGACCAGGAATATTTCTATAGATTTGTTGATTTGGACATGTTGATCCTTTGACTCTGGCGTTTGACAGGTAGTCTAACATGTATAGTATGTCACATATCCCGTTAAAGCACAGCTTTATCATTTCATTTACTTGACTCATAAAGTGATGCATTACCCAAAAGTTTTATTTAAAGCACATCACATGGGGGATGGTCATATGGGGAAGACCCCTTTCCAACACAAAAGACCCCTCATTGCCCTTCGGAATATAAGACAACCAGTTAACAATTGCTTGGTGATCTAGTTTAAAACACATCTGTCATAAAAGGATCAAATAAGGGCATTGAACCCCGAACCTGGTGCATCAAGCTAAACAGAAGATAGATCATACTGTCTGAAGCAATCTTTTTATCCATCTTTGCAACACAAATCTTAACATTTTGTGGCATAAAATAAAGCCAGGTGATCCACGTGTGGCATTTCCAGGAGAAAAGAAATTTTTAATAGAAGAGTTTTTAAATTATCAGGACCATTGACTAGTGAACAAATAGTGGAACTAGTGAACAAATTCATTTAAACATCGGACAAATGAATGTTGTATGAAATACAGTCTTTAACATGAAACTATAACTACCATTTAAAGTAACAAAAATATATTAACGTGTTAGTACATATCTAAACAAAAGAGCTGTGTAAAGCTTCTTGTAAGTACCATATCAACCAAGAATCAGCTTGTGACATCACGGGTACAGTTTACCTCTCCCTCCACAAAAATAAATGAAAAAACACTACAGAAATCAAACCCAAAGCTCTCCTCCATCTTACCATGTTAAAGCTGTCAGGAAATTAGGGGCTGTCACTTGAAAAATAAACCATCATCAAATATCATATTAGACAATCATTAGTTTATATTAGACTCATTACCCTTGTCTCGTGGAAAATAATATATTATAAAGAGAATTTAAATTAGTGCATCAATATCATAACTGTTACATTTTTTCCTATCAATATTCTTCATTAATAACAGGAAAATAAAGCTAATTCTTCCAATATACCACAAACACCCAATTCAAGAAACTGGCAATACCAGTATATGTTGAAAGAAAAAACAGTATTCCATTATAATTCATAATTCAAAGGTATATTTATAGATGCCCCATTTAACATTTGCAGTTATTATCAACCTCATATGTCACTGCATCACGTCACCTCCAAAGGAAAGGAGGCTTTGGGTGCCGCACAGTTGCCTCCACTCTGATTTTTAGCCACTGTTGGAAGAAACTAATTCAGTTAAAATTTGAGCACCATCCTATAAGTTAAACCCAGCTGATGAAATTCCTTGCTGAATTCATAACATGCTTTGATACCAATTCCAAGAGAAAAATATAACGCCATTATAAACAAACGTCAGGATATATGTATTAAATTGTCAAATAGAGGTCGCCACTGTCTGGTACTGCACTTGTCTTCTCAAGTTCGTAACTTTTCTTTTATACCTCTTTGAGAATCATGAAAATACCAAGTATTTTAACATATTATCCAATTTTTGATTAAAATAGACTAAATTTAATTGTCATCATAAACCAAAGTAATCTAAATAAACATAAGTCTAAGTCAATCATACATAAAAAATAAACATGACCACCTACCACCTACCATCATTTTAATGATGTTTTCATCTACTAGTAATTTGATTTTTACAAGATGTAATTTGTTTTTATAAGATACTAAAATTAGACGATTATTTTTCTTTAAAATCCACTGTGCATACAGCACAACATGAAGCAGCACAATGAACTGGACTGGCTGACTTTGAGAGGTACTCGTAGAGTGTGCCCTCTGGTGGCAGAAATGAGAATCATGGTGGCTTGGGTTATATCTTTGTGGGATGCTTAGCAAGTGGATTCTAGAAACAAAAATGGTTAATACAAAAGTTTTCACTTTTACCAAAAATTATGCTAAAATTTTTGAATGAAATGTGAAGGGACTTAGATGATCTAGACATTATTTCAGGCTAAATAGATTTACTCATATTAAAGAAATAACAATAAAGTATTAACTTATGATTATTTAATAGAAGATGGTGAGGACTCACTGACCAGTTAAACAGTGAGCCAGAACAATCAGGTGCCATAGTGGGTTTCATAGTTTATCTTGGAATTTAAATCCTATTATTGATAGTAACTTGCTTTTAGGAATGCTTACCAGTATTTACTGTAAAGAAAGACAAAATACACCATTTGCATTGAAAGTTTCTTTATTTTAAACAACATTTCAACCTCAGTAAGTTTCGTTTTTTAATTATATGAAAAAACACTAGTTTTTGTGGAGTAACAATAAAAAAACTTGCTTGAGATAGCTTTAAATAGAAGAAAAAATAATAAAAGTTGGCAGTTCTGCAAAAATGTTTGGAATATCTCAATTACAGTTTGCTCTCAGTCAGTCCGGTACTGTGGAGAGGCACCTGCATTGTGAAGTGACATTTAAAAGAATTTTGATCTGTGGCTGTTTTCCCCAGCAGTGGACTGTC